CAACAATAGAAATAATAATAACTAATAAAATTTTTTTAAATGGAGAAAATTGAGCACAGAGCAGTAATTACGTTTTTGTTCTTGCAAGGCAAGCAACTGCAGGATATTTTGACTGAGATGCATGCTGTAAATGGAACTGATTGCCCATCCTGTGCTATGATAAAATTTTGGCAAAAATGTATAACTGCGAGAAGCGACTACATTGAGAAAGATTAAACTTAGTGCCAAATTTCAGCTTTCTACCTTTATTCCTCCATGGTCAGGTAAAAACCTTTTGGTATGACCCTCGTACACACACCCCTCAACCCCACACGAACACCCACACTCACCCACACACATATTATCCACACACACACACTCACCGTTGATATCGGCGTGTTTAATCATGTCCTCTATGTCGGCCTGGGTGTAGTCATGACCCAGAGTCCTCAGGACACAGCCTAGTTCATCACACGAGATCTTCCCGTCATTGTTCTTGTCAAACATGTCGAACGCTTGCTTCAGTTCTGTGGACACAGGAGGGAGACCATTGTCTTAACTTCTTGTCATTTGAGTAGTTTAGTTTTAGTAAGTGTTTTACAACACTTGCAACACAATACGGTCATAGAAGTGCTAAAGATTAGAGGCGTTAGAAGAGAGTAACAAACACAAAATAGAAGGAGGGGGGGATAGGATAAGGGCGATAGATGTTTGATAGGAAAGAAGAAGCAAACCACACCAGAGCACCCGCCAACCACACACATCTTGTCATTTGAGTAAAAAGCAACAACAAAAACAAAACTAAATAAAAAACAATAGCAACAAACAAACAATAAAAAAACAACAACAAACAAACAAACAAACAAACACCAACACATTGGAAAAATAGGTACGCCCGTCAAAGTTGGGATGCTTTTGTTTCCCATTTTAAGTTTAGAAACAACTTTACGGTACTTGCAGCGCAATCAGGTCATATAACCAGTTTTGCAGCACTTCCAACACAAATATGTCGTAAATGTCGAAGACTCATATGACCTTATGCAGTTGCGAGTGCCATAAAACCTCTACTAAAACTAAATGTCGAAGATTTCAGTGTTTTCAAAGAGTAACGAACAGAAAAAAGAAAGAGAGATAAAGACGATACAATATATTTGATCAGATTGAAAGAAGCAAAACATACCAGAACAGTCGCCAACCGCCCCACAGGCTGTCATAGGGATAAGGAAGACTAACGGGTGGAATAGCGATAGGCACAGGAAAGAAGTAAGCTACGGCGTAATGGTTTTTTTGCTTTTTTGTGAGGATTTTATGGCGCTCGCAATTACATAAGGTCATATGAGAGCGCGGGACACATTAACCAATTTCACCTTGTAGGTAATTTTGAATTTTGCCCGGGTGGCGGCCGAAGCCTACTCTCGTCAATTTTGGATCACCATGCAAGGGATCTTCAACGTGCGCAAGTTACACACGGGACCTCCAAGATTATTCGTCCTTATACGAGAAGGATAGGTGTTAGATTTTGCCTACCCTAAGATCAGGGGTGTGACTGAAAGATAGCAGTAAGAAGGAGCCAATGGATAGCAGAAGAAAGGCTGCAGAAAGAGTCAGAAGCCAGGAAAAGAGGGCAAAGGAGGACAGGGGTGGACGCAGAAAGTAAAGACGAAAGCAGACTACTACAAAATCATAAGAACAGAAAATAAAGCAACCAAAAGAGAAAAAGAAAAACGAAAAAGAAAACAAAAACTTAAACACACGTGAGGTGAAGGTAAGAGTTCAAGGAAATAAAGCAAACAAGAAGAAAGAAAGCAAGAAAGCAAAAAATCAAGAAAAGAAAGAATGCAAGAAAAAAAAGAAAGAAAGAAAGAAAGCAATAAATAAAGAAAGAACACGAAGTAGTTATGAAAAAGAAACCCATTACACAACGCCACAAAAAGAAGCGTGGAGGAAAAACCCCCAAACAAATTGTAGTCATAATATGAAAGAAGCCAGGAAAAAAACCAACAAAAAACAAAACGTCTAAAGTTCACAGAAATTGGTATCGCTAAAAATGGTCCGCTGCCACTTTCTCGCTGCCTATAACAGTTCACCTGCGCGTCACCCTTCGAACAAAACGATGAAATGAGGCACTGGCAGGCAGCTTGTAAGGCGAAAACGCTTTTTACAGTGAACTTCTCGAGCGAGAGTTTCCTGGGGGCTATGGAAGCAGTTCTCTGTGACGTTACGACGAAGTCAAAATTGCCGAAATAGTTGGACAGCTTAACCGTTTCGTTGCTGTGAAGTTTCCATTTACGTTTGAACAGACTGGGTAAACTGCTCAATCAATAGAGATTGAAACAAAGCCAAATGATATTTTCCCTTACTTAAGAACAACTGGTTTCTAAATTGTGTCGAAATTGGCATGAAAACGTTTACGATGTCTACCAAAATATTAGCCTGCTCCTGTGTACTCTACGCGACGGTGGTCTTCACTTGAACAACTCAAAGAGAAAACACCTCTTTTTTTAATTTTCTGACTCTACTTATCAATTCCCTCTCCTTTTAGCTTGAGGCCACACAATTACCGTTGTCAAGTAAATGAAATTATTCATTTACATCAGAACATTGACCGAGTTCTTTTGCAAAACCTTGTTCAAGTGTGCTGTAAAGTGAATTTTCGCGACACGGTCAAATTAAATTCTGGCGATGAAAAGACGTCGCAAGAGCAGATCAATGGTCAGGCCATCTGTCAAAGTGTCATTTAAAGGTCGATCTGTCATGGCCATTACTTGGTACTTTTCTACACGAGGATATCAATTTCTCTCCATCTTCTAATGTCTTTAGCCCAATCCTTTCAATCTCGTTCTCTTTTACTCTCTCTCTTCCTTTCTTTCTCTCTCATCTCTCTCTCTCTCTCTCTCTCTCTCTCTCTCTCTCTCTCTTACCCTCTCTTTGTTTTTTTTTTTCACCCCCCCTCTTCCTTCCTTCTTTTTTCACCACTCCCTTTCTCTCTCTCCACCCACCAACGCACACACAGTTTAATCCCTTGTTTTGTTTTGCAGTCATCTTGTTTCTTTTCTTTTTCAGCTATCGATTTTTCTTTCTCTTCTTCCAGTAATTGTTTCTTTTTTCTCCTCTTCCAGTAGAATCTGTTCTTCTTTCTCCTTTCCCTGATATGGTTTCTCCTTTAAAAAAATTAAAATAATCTTTTTCTTTCTGGCTTTCCTCAACCAATCTGTCAATCCCTGCTATAATGAAATCATTTGAAAAGGTGCACTGATCTCAGTCCATTAAATCTGGTCCAGTGTGGAAGAGATTCGTGTGACCTATAAATTCTAATCTATCAACCGACACACTATATACCTATTTTATGGATGGTGTTCGATTAAAGCGTAGGCCTACTGCTCATTGGGGTCTCTCACACGAAAAGCGCATACATTACATACAGAATAAAGAAATAGATACACTTACGCACACATACACTTACACACATAGACATACACACAATTGTTTAACAAAATGCTTATAAAAATACAATTTTTATATACATGGACACACACACAAATAAATAAAAACACGTACACATGCATACACTTAAACGCATACACATACGTACTTCAAGAAATCAAAGACATAGCCCCCCCTCTAAAAAAAATCAACACCCCCTAAAAAAACAAGGACCCCCCCCCCCTTCAAACAAATAACCCCCTCCCCACCACATAAATAAGAAATTGAAGCTTCTTTTTTTTAAAGTGCCCCCAAAACTTCAAGTAAAGTGAAGTGGACTGACTGCAGTAGGAAACTCGTCCTCAGAAAATTAATGGCAAACAGGGATCACCACAGAACGAAAATATAACGAGTCTCTACAATTACAAACCCTCAAGTCAAAGGTTCGACCCCCGCTCACGTACGACCCCCGCTCACGTACGACCCACTCATTAAAATTTCTTTGCACAGCAGTTTCGCACCACGACGTAAGCAATCGATGGCCACACACATCGTCGGGGGGCAAAGCGGGCAGCGCGTGCATCAATATAAGAGGTGGTCAGGAGTCAGGACTCGATCAGGACGTGAGCCTGTGTCATGTGGTGTGCCCCAGACCGACCAACGCAGGACTGACCACTGGCTACTACTAATCACCGGCATTGGACCGGGCCGCGCGTTCATAAATATCGCATACAGGCCTGAGGGTCGTCTGTAGGGTAGGGAGGGCGCGGCTAATTAGGAGCAAATGTGCCGTAAACGTTGGGAGTTGGGGTTGGG